TAGTTAAAGGTGCAGCTATATATCTCACATTGTTTTATCCCCCGTTTTCTTTAGAAGGTGCAACTTCGGAAAAGAAGACGTTTTTCAGATGAGAAAGAAATTTCACACAATCCAACTTTGAAATTGTTTAGACTAATAGGTATATGCTGTAATTCCTTCAGGCGCCTTCAGTCATAACTGAGTCTTTAGCATATGGGGCAAGGTGGCCCAGTGGTATAAGATGCCATATCATACAGTGCAGAGTTGCTTCCCTTAGCAATAACAGGTTCTGCTGACCACTAGTTCTAATCCAGAATTGACCCAATATGCCTTGTACTCATGTGGAATGTAAAACCTGCTTCACTTTACCTTATTATGAGATGACACTGATTAGAATTCCCTCACAGTGGTATTAAACTGACCTTAATTTTTCATCAAGAGTCATTAAGTCATTATTGGTCTCTACTCTCTTAAAGAAGCACAGTTAATGCAAATTCTACTTTATACCATCTTCCTTTTAAGTCTCAGTTATCTTTAACAATCATGGCATCATCATTATTCTCTCTCTCTATCACTTTCTACCTCTCTCCTATCTCTCTATTGCCTCTTTCTATCTCTCTCTTTCTATCTCTCTCTCCATCTACCCATGAAGGTCCGGGTTAGAATATTGATCTTCAGTAACCCATGCTTGTCATAAGAGGTGACTAACAGGATCGGGTGGTCAGGCTCGCTGGCTTGGTTGACACATGTCATCATATCCCAATTGTGCAGATTGATGCTCATGCTGTTGATCACTGGATTGCCTGGTCCAGACTCGATTATTAAATGGATTTAACTAAACCAAATATTGTGAATTTATTCAGATGTATGGAACATCTAAAAAATTTACCAGACCATCGGGCTGGCTAGCTGTAGATTTAGACCGTCCGTCAGAAATCTGGACCGTCTCGGGCGGTCGGACGGGCCTTATTTCATACACTGCTTTGATACAATAATTATTTGATAAGAGGACTGTATGAATGGGGAATGAAAATCAAAACAATATTCTCGGATCACATCTGTTTACTTAGACACTTAATGCTTTCAACAGCCGTAACTAATCCATTCCATAATGCCTGTCTCCTCCTGAAAGTCTGCAACAATGGTGTCTGGTAGTTCCACATGTTCCTGACTGAGAACCTCTCATGTATCTCCGTAGTTTTGCCCCCTGCTCCAGACGGGTTAATGAGAGGTTTTAAGAAACCATCATTATGCATTGATTTCCATATAAAACATTGATAAGAGCATTACTTGAACATTCTTTACATCCTAGCATAGACAGGTGTATTTCTGTCCAGATGACTCTCTGGTCCTGTGTGTGTGAGTGTGAGTTTGGTTTTATGCCGCTTTTAGCAATATTCCAGCAACATCACGGCGGGGGACACCAGAAATGGGATTCACACATTGTAACCATGTGGGGATTCGAACCCGGGTCTTCGGCGTGACGAGCCAACGCTTTAACCACTAGGCTACCCCACCGCCCCTCTCTGGTCCTGTGGTGTCAAAGCAACATTTTCTGATGCGTAGAGTAAATGTCTTCTTTCTGAAGGTGTGTGTTGCTGATTCAGTTTCATATTTTAGAATACATATCAAGGTGAGATTATTGGATTGAAATAAGGTCTGAAATTATGTTTGCCATTGTACCAGTAAGTTCTGCATGAGACAGACGGGTAAGCAAATAGCATTTGTATATCAGTACATTGGGCCTGTTTCCAGAAGTGTTCAGTGACTAGTGTTTGGGACTATGCTATCTAAAGTTGTAAATTTGATTTGAGTTGTACTTCTTTGTTGTGCCAGGATCTGCGGATTGTGATCGAATCCAAGATGTGTCCTGATCCTCTGTTTGTGACATCCTTGATAATCCATTGATGTTATATGTCCCATCCATTAGGATAGATATATCCTTTACCCATAATACACAATAACTTTGATGAAATATTCACATAGAGATATCCATCACCCAGCTGTCTGTGACATCCTTGATTATCAACCCGTGAAGATCCGGGTTAGAATATTGATCCTCAGTAACCCATGCTTGTCGGAAGAGACGACTAACGGGATGGGGTGGTCAGGCTCGCTGACTTGGTTGACACATGTCATCGTATCCCAATTGCATAGATCGATGCTCATGCTGTTGATCACTGGATTGTCTGGTCCAGACTCCATTATTTACAGACTGCCACCATAATTTCTGGAATATTGCTGAGTGCAGCGTAAAACTAAGCTCACTCACTCACCCATTCCGACCGCGTCATACCAAAAGACGTTAAAATATGGTACTTGTTGGTCCCTGCCTGGAGTTCGGCATTAATGGGTACAACAAGGACTGGTTGGCTCGGAGTCAGTATAATGTGTCTGAGTGGGGTATTCATGCTTCACTGCGGCATGGTATCTCAGTGGGCTAGCACTATAAAACCAGCTTAAGTCTGGGCTAGTACAAGCAGCCGCGCATACACACATGCACGTCTTCATATGAGCGAAATATTCTCAAGTACAACGTTAAACCCAATTTCACCTCACCTCACTCACTCACTCACTCACTCTCCCTTCTCTTTTAGGGAGATAATGCATTATACATAAACCAAACCCATATGCCATCCAAACTTTCTTGAAAGCATATCACAATCTCCACAGAATTCCTGTCACCGATTAGCTTGAACTCAACAAACAACTGATTTTTCATAACCAAAAACTGCCATAGATCTGTATTAGAAATTCCAGCTTAATTCAAGCCAGCCCTTTATATATTTCAACCAATGGACTACCACTATAGAGTTGTAGACATGCATGGTAGTTACTCTGCTTTTGTTGTTTAAGTGAGTGAGTTTAGTTTTACGGCACATTCAGCAATATTCCAGCTATGCCAGACAATCCAGTGATCAACAGCATGAACTTCAAACTATGCAATTGGGATACAATGACATGTGTCAACCACGTCAGCGAGCCTGACCACCTGATCCCATTAGTTGCCTCTTACAACAAGCATGGGTTACTGAAGACCAACTCTAACCCGGATCTTCACGGGTCAATGTAAATGGAAGAGTAAATCTTCACGGGTTGTTTGTTGTTTAGTGCTGGACTGAGCAACATTCCAGCTTTTGGTAAATAATCTAGTCTGGACCAGACAATAGAGTGATCAACATCATGAGCATTGCTCTACACAACTGGGATACGATGACATGTCCACGACCCTGACCACCCGATCTCGTTAGTTGCCTCTTACAACGAGCATGGTTGCTGAAACCAACTCTAACACGGATCTTCACGGGTCGAATACTGTGTGGAACTATGGGATAGTGAAGCTAGCTAGTTAAAGACTGCAAGTGATCTAAATAACTTCACGTACATATAAACTTCAGTGGTCAAATACTGAGGAATATTTAAATGATATAGAGTAAGTTACCTTAACAGGTAGCTGGAGTAGCATTGTGGTTAAAGTGTTTTCTTGTCAAGCTGAATCCCAGGTTTGATTCCTCACACAGATGCTGGGCCTATTAAGACATCCCCACTAACAGAATTTGTTTTTCAGAAGAGATACCCAAACACCCAAAGTAATCAACCCCAGTTTTTATTTATTATAGTAACCTTCTCATACTGTGCAAGTCAAAGGCTCCATAATGAAGCAATACTAAATGTATTCTCGGGAAGAAGCTTGTCACAAGCAGCATTTTGTATGGTGCTTTAACCTTGTACTTTGAAGTCTTCTTTAGTTTGACACCTTTTCCGGAATGGAACTTCTTCAGTATTTTACACTGATCATAGTTCAGACACTTTCAATATAGCTGTCAGGATTGACTTAATGAGTGTCCATTAATGATTACCAGAGTGGAATGGCTTATATGCCTAACTTGCTGCTTTTAACGTAATGAATCAGACTACCACTTAAATGTTGTAATCTGGATGGTTACATGAATTTGTCAAGTAGAAAGTCAAGTTAGAAAATATATTTACAAAAATCTAATCCACCTTGCCATGCTTCATTACCAAGATGGACTTCGTATGATCTTGTTTGATATTCTGAAGATAACTTTATCTTAAAATTTGAGTTCTTTTCTAAGTCTGATTGGATGACAGGATATCCAGGTCTTTAAAATATTTTTTTACATTTTAATCATAGCTATCAAGAATATTGATTACTTTCCAGGAAGGAAAATAATTTTGATTGATTCACACAACCATGAAATCAAAGGTTTGATTTGAAATTCCTTAAGGTATGAGGAGTGCTTTTATTCAGATGCAATATGCTCAATTTGATATAGACGTTGAACTTGAAGAATGGATTGTAGTGAAAGGCAGTTATACAGAGATCCCTGGCTTGAACATGGATGGCTTTCTTCACTATCCACTCCATTGTATCTCCATTTTATTAAGTGAGTGAGTGAGTTTAATTTTACGCCCCACTCAGCAATATTCCTGCTATATGGAGGCGGTCTGTAAATAATCTGGACCAGACAACCCTGTGATCAACAGCATGAGCATTGATCTGCGCTACTGGGAACCGATGACATGTGTCAACCAAGTCAGCGAGCTTGACCACCCGATCCCGTTAGTTGCCTCTTACGACAAGCATGGGCTACTGAAGATCAATATTCTAACCCGGATCTTCACGGGTGGATAATCATTTTCACCAAAGTTGTAAACATCTCAGATCTGCATCACTGCAGGTTTTTCCTCACATGTTTGGGCTGCTATTCCTGGAGATAACTGGATTTTGTTTGTTGATTAACGCCGCACTCAGCAATATTCCAGCTATATGGCGGCGGTCTGTAAATAATCGAGTCTGGACCAGACAATCCAGGGATCAACAGCATGAACATCAATCTACACAATTGGGATGCGATGACGTGTGTCAGCCCAGTCAGCAAGCCTGACCACACTATCACACTAGTGGCACACTATCCAAGATTGTTGAATCCATGACATCTGTATTTCTTGTTTCTAATTTGACATTAGCTACAATTCTTTTATTTCTTTTTCCATAGGAGAAAAGCCATTGTGATATGTTTCAACTATAATCCTAGATTTTGGTAAGTAGAAAATTTCATGTTTCTCACTTGCTCTGATGGGTCTGTGGATCACAAATCTGATATTATATTTCACTTTCTTTTTTACTGTTTGATCTAGTTCCTGAAGTCTCAGGTCCTCCATTAATGCTCCATCACTATCCATTTGCTAACAAAGCTACTCCTAGGATATTATGTCCCATCTCCATTGTTTTAGTAGCATATTGTATCAGTTAGTTGTTAACAAATCTGGGTCTACAATAAGCTGGCTTTTCTTACACAAGTAGATAAAAGTAGATGTTAGTATAAAGGTACTGTAGATCCTGTTTTTATACAGAATTAGAGTCAAACTGTTTCAGTCAAATGAACCACTCATAACAACCTAATACTATATAAATACAAAGTATTGAGCTACTGAATTATTTATTCCACTTGTGTGAATCTGGAAACAAAAAACTGCCAAATCATGTAATTATTTCAAGCTTTTTGCCATCTATTCCCACAACCACTACCAATATTTCTTCATTCATGCATTGAAACTTTGGGAAAATCAATGAAGGCGGTAATAAACTTGATCTAGCCTGATAATAACATGACAATGGTATTGCTAATTACTCTTTAACTTCCCCAAAAGCTTCAGCTGGGACAGATATTCAGGTCAATCTCTCACGCCAAGCATCAGTACTTTCATGAGTTGTGTAACAAAATCAGATTTGACATGTTTCCAGAGAAAAGCATCCATTCACCATTGCGTTCCCTACTTTGATGTTAATGACATAAGCCTGCTCATGTTGTGACTGACATTGTATGCTGCACGGAGGCTAGCCTCCTAGCCTCCACGGCATGTACTGAGATGGTCAATGGGTACACATGACATCATATGCTGACTGAAGGCACGTCTCCACAACTTGCCGAAAATAAACAGAGGCTAGTCTAGTTAGTTGGAATAACACAACGTATAAAATGACAGACGTTCAAAATTTAGTCCATGAATCCATGGCTAAAATTTCACATGGCAAAAATCAGTTAAGAAAGTTGACAATGCTGTGGAGCATCAGTACTGGCTTCAAAGCGGTTTACAACAGGCGACTATCAGTCCTGTTATCATACAAGTGCTCTCTGATGACTCTGACAGCAGCGAGTCCATGTCTGATTCAGAATCACAGTGTGATGACTTTTGATACAATCCCTTTAATGATGAAATCAACATCAGCGACGTGCCTCTTTGATACAATCCCTTAATGATGAAATCTACATCGCACGTGCCTCTCGCTTACACCCTTGTCACAAATTATGATATAGATAATGAAAACAATGATGGTTTGTTAAACAACTATTTTATTTTGTAGACAAAAATTATGATAAAATTCTGCAGCGTTGGTGTGTTTTTCCTATTTTCCTTTGGCGTTGGTTTGAGTCGTTTACGATTACTTGTTTTTGAGGCTAGTCTCCACAACATGCAAACCCTCCATGGAGGCTAGTATCCACAACATGCAAACCCTCCATGGACTCGTCTCCACAACATGCAAACCCTCCATGGAGGCTAGTCTCCACAACATGCAAACCCTCCATGGAGGCTAGTCTCCACAACATGCAAACCCTCCATGGAGGCTAGTATCCACAACATGCAAACCCCTCCATGGAGGCTAGTCTCCACACACATGCAAACCCTCCATGGAGGCTAGTCTCCACAACATGCAAACCCTCCATGGAGGCTAGTCTCCACAACATGCAAACCCTCCATGGAGGCTAGTCTCCACAACATGCAAACCCTCCATGGAGGCTAGTCTCCACAACATGCAAACCCTCCATGGAGGCTAGTCTCCACAACATGCAAACCCTCCATGGAGGCTAGTCTCCACAACATGCAAACCCTCCATGGAGGCTAGTCTCCACAACATGCAAACCCTCCATGGAGGCTAGTCTCCAACACATGCAAACCCTCCATGGAGGCTAGTTTCCACATCGTTCAGATGTACTGAAGAAGTCAAAGGGTCCTCACAACATCTTAACAAAGGTTCCCTAGTGTAAGAGCCTGTTCAACAATTGAGGACACAAGGTGTGAATAAATCATCTTAATCAAAAGCTTCATCCTTTCTATAGGTTAATAATCATTCAGCACGTTGGCATAGAGTTATTGAATTGTCATACAGATCCTATTGACATGCTGTTGACCCCATGAGTGGAACAAGAGGTCACGAGGCTGTTGAGTGTGTTCTGACTCTCTCAGAGAATGGACTCCTTCATGGCAGTTTTGAAGCTAGCTGACAAAGTGAGAATTAGCATGGATATTATTCCAAAGTGTTTGACATGAACACCTTGATCAATGTCATGAATAGCTGCATCTCAGATGTGGCTAGTGGTAAGATCGTTAGTCATTGATGATTTCAACAAAGGCAGCAGCAAACTTTGCCCAAGCTGGACAGTGTGGTGAATTGGTACGGACAATGCTTCATTGCGTTGGCAAGACCTGTTTTCAAACCTAAAGGATATTAGTTAGTGGACAGCTCAAAATGTGACCTTGTAAGAACTGTGTTCCTCTAAGGCTGCTGTCCAGAAGCCAACGCAGGTGACCATCATTAGATATTCCTTAACTCTACAGTTGTAGTAGCAAGGATGAGTATGGCAAGGTTTACAGCAGTTCTTTGAGAGGCATTTTAGAAGTTGTAAAGACTGACTGAGTTTGGTTTTACGCCGCTTTTAGCAATATTCCAGCAACATCACGGTGGAAAAGTTGTAAAGATGAAGGAAAACCAAGTTCTATGGATAGTCAACTTCTTTATTGCAATGAGTGTGACATTTCACATTTGCTTCATAATGGTATTAGTACCTACACCGAAACATCACACTCACTGCAATAAAGAAGTTGACTATCCATAGAACTTGGTTTTCCTTCAAGGTTTACATCATATAATGTTGAGGGCGGTGGAGTAGCCTAGTGGTTAAAGCGTAGCTCGTCACACCGAAGATCCGGGTTCGAATCCCCACATGGGTACAATGCGTGAAGCCCATTTCTGGTGTCCCCCGCCGTGATGTTGCTGGAATATTGCTAAAAGCGGCATAAAACCATCAGTCAGTCAGTCAGTCAGTCATATGATGTTGAAGCTTGTTCAGATTGGAAAGGCAAATAAGTTGCTGAAAGCAACCCTATTGATTCTTAAGCCTGACCGACAGACAAGTAGTCATGTAATATAGACTCGTTTCACCGCCAAGTGATGAACTGAAGATCACAACTGCTGACTACTGAAGTATATGTGCTCAGTGATAAATGCAACGGAGAAAGAATTTAACTAAAAGGAAACTGATTTCCATAATCTCTCTCTAATAACATGTGCATCTTTGTTACTTTTTGTTAAACAGCTATTAAAAAGTAGTTCATTCAAAGTCATAAAAAAATATTGTAAACCTTAGAAATATTCAGACTGTGTAATATGTATTGTGAACCACTGGTAATAGGATACTCTTTTGTTTCATATATTTTATATCTTACAGTTGTCAATAGTCTGCAAATTGATGGCATCAATATTGAATGATGGACCAATGATAAAGGAATCACAATTATCGTCTGTGAGGTTTAATTGTACCAGGCCCTCATTACCTAATAATTTGGCATTGCAATGTTGATTTTGAAGCCCTCTCACACAAAGGTTATTCGAGTGTGACGCTTGATATTATCCTTTGATCACAATTTTAATTAATTGTATTTGTATAGAACATCTTGATTGTTGCAGGTGAGAGGACAGTCATTAATATCCGTCGCAGTGTTTGGATTTACATCGCGATATGGATTTTTGCTCTTTGTAAATATGGAAATGAAGATGTCTCTTATAGAGCATGTCAGAAATAACGAATTTGCACAAATCTTTTATTGTTAAGCACTTCTTTCAATCAAACAGTTTTTGTCCAGCTACATCACGGGGAAAAAATTACGTTATTGACTCATTTATCATAGGCAGTTCATCTGAAGGTTCTTTAAACACTCCTTTCTGCTTGGCTGATTGGGATGTTTGTTCAATTACTCCAGATGTCGATGAATGAAATTGTTGGTCTTTAACTCCATTGGTTTACAATGTACCCCATCATTTTCAGGAAAACTGTTGATCTTGTATCCAACCATATCAATTTTGCTCACTAAGTAGATAATTGCTTGGATTTGAATGGAATCATCTGCCAATGATGTTGATGGACATTGATTCCGTTGCCAAATGGTATGGGTGAGTGGTGCTAATAGTGTTTGAAGGTGATCATTGCATCAAGATGACCACGTTCCCATTGATGGTTTCCTTCTGTTCCTGACACACTACTGACCTTAACTGGAGTGCTATCAGGAAATTGATGTGAATCCTCCTGGGGAATATACCATTAGAGGTTATTGGTTCCTCTTTGTTTTGTACTGGTGATTAGCACCGTCCTGTTGGACAACTGTCATTGATGATACTTTTTACACTAATCCTTAGCACTTGTGATTTGGACATCTGTCATTGGTACGTCTTTTTGCATATTTCTTCGGTGTTTGTCACTTCCTTTAGACACGTTTGTCACTTCCTTTGGACACCAGTCATTTGAATTTCTTTTTATCAAAGCTATTCATGTTTTATTTTATATTTTAGACTAGGAGGTTTTGAGGTTAGGCTAACGTTTAGTTTCTGAAATGAACTTATCTTACAGAAAGAATGGTTTAAAAATGATAATCATAAAATATAAAGAAAATGAGCCAAGAGATATTCTTAATTTTCAGAAACTGTTGTTTGTAAACTTGCCACATATTCCAGACTTGCATGGGCTTTCTTGGATATATTTGTTTCAGGGTCTGTATGACAGACTAGTTTGAGGTCTTCAGGTCCTTTGTTTGAAATCAGTCATCAGGATATGTTAATTTGAGATCAGTATCAGGTCCTGTTTGTTGAAGATCATTCATCATGCTCTTTTGCCCGAGATCAGTATCAAAGGATGCTTGTTGAGAATCAATCATGAAGACCTGTTTGAGCGAGATCATTCATAAGCCATGGTTTTTTAGATCATTC